TTTGTTAAAAGGAATCAAGGCAATACTTACTCTGAAATTAAATGTCATAGTGATTTTGCTCTTGCTAGAGGAGCATCGTACTTAAAAAATGTTGTACATCAGGCGAATGCCTCCGCATCTTCGGCAACATTACATGATGGCATGCGCTCTCTTTTCTTTTTATCCCTTCCCAAAAATGTATACGAAAGTGTACCATGTCCCTGTCGGCTGGAACAAGCATGTTTGGTTTTAATAATGTCTCCATCGATTAGTATGCATTTTACTTAAACGAGTGTTAAAAACTTCATTAATGAATTTTAACATTTCCATTTTGTGAAGTTGCTGTTTTCATGTTTGCTGATGTTTTTCTCCGTTTTTGAGAATGCAGGTATAGAGTCGTTTACTCAAGGTGAGCCACGCTTATTTTTTTTTTGTTTTTAGATTTTACCGGCGACGTGTATGTTGTGGGAAATGGTAATTATTATTATAATATTACCATTTTAATGCGTTTGACTGGACATAAAGCTAAGTCAATGACCAGTGCTTCTGTGAGCAATACAAAAATCATAACCACACATTGTGTGTAATAAGACCTTATCATATCATTGTCCGCAGCTTGATGGATACTCACATCATTGAGCGGCATATTTGTATAATGCTCTTAACAACATTGCCCAGCCATTATTATTAATGCGTCGAATGTTGCCATTGCACATAAAATTGTGATACAAAAGAAATAACTTCCTATCCCAGTGTTACGTGCTTTCAATTTACTTCGGATTCTTGAGATAAATCAACACACGTTAAAAAAATGTCTTTAATCGAACTGCCAACGTTTCGGCCTTTATTTCAAACCTTCCTCAGGGCTACAAAAATTTAAAAAAATACATTAAAAATTCAAAATTGTAGGTGCGGGAATGGAGGGAAAAAGGTCCATTAGAAAATTTGCTAAGAAAATGCACAAGAATATAAAAGTATAGAACAAATGAACAAAACGATGACAATAAACATTAAAGACTAGATTTAAAAATGAACAAATATGCAAAAGTGTAAAAGTCAAAACATCCCTACATATTGAATGAGACACGAAAAGCCCGTAACGAGGGAAACAAACATCCCCTAGGTTAACTATGAGAATAAAGAATAGAACATAAAATCAAACAAATACATGCCAGTTCGGCTGCGTTAAACCAACGCAAAACGGAAGAAATCCAAACAGTCCCTAGATATATGTATACGAGGAGCTATCATGAATGAAAAATTCATGAAGGTCAAACTATGTAAAGCTTTGATTTTGTCTAAACTGGCTTACTGTGACTGCATGTATGGACCTGCCCTTTTGCAAACAGATATTTTACGCATTCAGCGAATTCAAAATTATTGCATCAGGTTTGCATATGGTATCCGAAAGTATGACCACAGCTTTATGGATTCTGGTTGGCTTACCATGACTAACAGAAGAGAAAACTTCATTTTCTCACAAGATCGTACTAGTAGAACACCTACTTATCTATACAATAAACTTACCAGACTCCCTGATAATAAAGTAACTCGCAATAAACATCTTTTTGTATTCCTAAACATTCAACGTCTCTGTTTAAGCGCAGCTTTTCCTACAATGCTGCGAATCTGTATAACAGCTTGGCAGTAGATCTCAAGAATCTGAGCCTCCGCAATTTTCAAAAAAGATTGAAGGCACGACCAAGGGCCTAAGGTATAATCAAACCTCGCTACGTTTTTAAAGGATAATGTCTCAATAGTTTCTTTTTAAGTCGTCTTGTTCTTTTTTGCATCAATTGTGCTCTCATAAAAACTGCATTGGCCATGTTCTCGTATGTTCTGTTTTGTATTGCATATTATGTTTTTATATATATATATATATATATATATTTTGAATGAATGTTATTTTTTGTGGGTTTAGCTGAAAAGCAGCTTAGGCTGAACTACGCCTTTCATCATTTTATCTTTAATTTTTTTCCTCAAGTTATTTATAATGATTTATAATGATGAATAAGGACCATTTATTATTATTATTATTATTATCATTATTATTATCATTATTATTATTATTATAAATGTGGTTGAGGTCGTCAGTGTTTTTTTGTTCACAACATTGTATAAAAAGGTGACGATCATTCCGCTAATCAAGTGTTTCTCGATATTGACAGACTAAAGTTGAAATTATGATTATTCTGGAAATGATGAGTTGCCAAAGCTGTATGTTCCCTATCATTTCTATGTGCTACGAAGAATGTCAACTTTTCAAACAAAGAACCACTTATTAGAAAACCTTTTGTTTACGACGGGTTTTTCATTTCATTTTTTGGAGGATTCTATTCGCCATTGGCTGTCAGATCGGTCCCTAGGACCTTTGCTCTTGGTTAAGGTATTGTAATTCAGTTGCTCTGTGCCGTCTGGTTGCCAGATACCGGACAAAATCAGGGAGAAAGAATGAAATAAGAAAGAAAGGATGGAAGGAGGGAGAGCAAAGAAAAAGAAGTGCGCCAATTTGAGGGATGCTCTGGTATTGCTAACTAGTATTCTAAAATTTTAAATTGATCCTAAAGTTAATTTAGTGATTTATTGTTGAAAAAAAATTATAATTTTGGTAGGACCTAAAGTCGCACGATTCAATTTGCTCACAGTGCGAGCCGCGGCTTTGTGTGCTTTGCGAACTTGCACGACTATGTAGTCTAATGACTCGCGCAACAAAGTGTTGCTATGCGATTCTGCTTTATTATAACGTAGCGACGCTTGTTGGATGTAGTGCCTTAAATAAGGGATGTCAAGGTTTCTGTGACGGGTCGCATTGGAGACATACCATGAGGTGTTAGTGATTGTACGCAAGGTTATATTCTGCAGAACCGGCAGATTGCCGAAACCTGATTTGGAACTTAGTTTTTGACAATTTAGTCTCCTTATGCCAGGTCATTACCCTGTGAAGAGTGACATCAAGATACTTAACTCACTGAAAGCTCAGACAGGGCGTTGCTACGTTTTTTTTTTGACCATACATATCATAAACAGCTGTTAAAGTTACCTAGGTAACAAACAATGACCATGATGTATATCAATCGAGAATCAGTTGTAGATGGATTTCTATGAATCCTGTCTTAAAAGAGATAGGCACGCCTGTGTTTGTTTCGCGGGGGGTGCGAGACGGTAGGGTTGCGAAGGGAGAGAACACAAGAAGTGCAACGGAGAAAATTAAAACGCGGACAAATGAAGGAGCTGCCGATCGATATGCACATGTGGTGGATTAGAAGTTCTAATAAAACACATACGTCCTTTCTGAGCACCGCTTTCTTCGGCTTGTAAGCCTCGAGACGGTGGGGAGTTTTTAATCGTGGTGAATATAACGGCGGCGGCAAGCATAAATCTTGGAACTATTTGTATCTTCAGATTTATCGTTGTGCTAACTATAATTCGTAACGTTGGTTGAGAAGGCAAACTACAGTAAAGCAGAACTATACAGAATAAGAATAAATGTAGAATCATATTTTCGGTTTATCATGATGAATACTTTGTCAATCCTGAAAACAAGCAATTTTAGGATGTTTCATCTCGAGGTCGACTTGCCAATAACATTGGTTGTCGGTCGGACTCGATACGCATCAACGTGACAATATTTAAAACAACTTTTACTGGCATTTTGACTGCCTCGACAGGAAAACTGAATGTCAGTAAGTCTTCCATTGGTGGTTTCCATTATTGGTATCAGCGAAATTCAACCTCGCATGTGTTTCTGACGTTTCTTCATCAACCAGCTACGGGAATACGCTACCCAACAATCCCATAGAAGCTCCAGAAATACGAGTGCAATTAGATTGCGTTGCGTTTATTAGAAAGTAGAGTAGGTTTACTAAGTAGCAGTCAATTAATCTGTAGACTTGTGCATTTTTATAGTTATTAATGCATGCTTCTGCCTCCTGTTATGCCTTGTAAAATATGTTTGATCTGTTTCGTCCCAGTTCGTTAACTGGTGTTCTGTGACCCCATCTGGAAACAAGTTTTTTGTGGGAAGAAAACTCAGAAGCCTGAAAGTGGAAAACTTATCAATTTTCCCAGCTGTATGATATTCATAGAAGTATACTGCCGTAGGTAAAAGGCAGTAAAGTTACAATTCCAAGATACCATTTGTGATCACGTTATTTAACAAAAATAGTTATAGTGCGTCCGACCTCAGTCGGGCAACCATGAACAGCTGTTTTGTGCTACTTGGCAACTCTTCAGCATGGTGTAGGCTCGGTATCGGTGTCTCGGTGGAGAACGAATGAAATCTGAGCAATTCTTTTCTATTCGGAGTATGAGGTTTATCGAAATAAGAGAGCATAAAGTGTCCTCTATTACCAGAATCGACCACTGCGAAGGCGACTCAGATATTGGCCTAAAAGTGGCTGTTAACGACTTTTTTTAGAGTCAAGAGGAAACATTTTTTATAAGAGAACGGAATTGGCGAAGATGCACTGATGTAGGGACGAGTACCTACATCGAAAAATAAAATTAGGTACCAAAAAAAATCATACGTCTTTTGTTTCATAGCTTTTTTTTTTCTTTTCTAGTACTCCTCATATATAATTAGATCTTGAAAGTATTTACTTTTGTGCTATTTATGTGAACTTCAATACGAATAAATTATATTAAAATAAATTAACTCTACATTACTGCTCTTTTCTTTAAAAATAATACTTTACGAATACTACGAAAGAAGGCCGTACATTTATTCTTAATAAAAGCAGTAATCACATGCCGCTTTTTAACTTACGACTATTAAATACCAGTTTTAGACCTCGACAGCAATTATGATTCGAAATCACTTTTAAATTACTCTCTTTAAAGTCATGTAACTTTACAATATTCATTCACTTTTATTATGTCCCAATAATATATTTAGTTAGAAGAAGTCCATAATTTTGAACTCAGTTGTGTGAGGCTTCGATTTTTGTACTTTACTGCCTTTTACCTAAGTATGACAGTACATTCACAAGCTAATATAAACCATCGCATATGTAATTTTTTCCAGAAAGTCCAAATTCAAAAGAAGAAAGAGAATGAAACAAGAAGCGTGACCCGACCGTTAAAGAAACCCAGAGAAGATGACCCAATCACATTACTCGTTACGATGGAACAACCATCAGACGCACATATTGGCTGCCTTCGAGGCCCTTTTGCAGGCCGAGACCTTGGTCGATGTGACCTTGGTCTGTGCGGAGACGTCGGTGCGAGCCCACAAGGTCGTGCTGAGTGCCTGTTCCCCATTCTTCCAGAGGATATTCTCGGAGAATCCATGCAAGCACCCTGTGATTGTGCTGAAGGACTTCAATGGCTGGGAGGTCCAGGCGATCGTGGACTTCATGTACAAGGGAGAGATCTCGGTGATACAAGAGCAATTGCAGAGCCTGATAAAAGCAGCGGAGAGTCTGCAAGTGAGGGGTTTAGCCAACCAGGACCCATTTGGAGTCGACAAGGAATCTACCTCGATCATCAATCAAACACCCACGCCCTCCACATCGCCCAATGAGTACGACAGGAATTATTTCAGCAGTGGTAGGCTTTCGACGCCAGGAGCTACTGTAAGTTGAATGTTTAGAACATGTTCACTTTTTCGTTCCTTCTATACATTGGCTGATCCGTAGCGTCAATATATTTAATGCAAAAAGCACATCGCGAACGTAGGGACAGATGCTCAGACATAATTTAAGTGGGGTGAGACAAAAGTAACGGAATCGCCATATATTTTCCAACTAAGATATTTTTGGAAAAGTCCAAGGTCAGGTCTTTACTAACTTTAGACAATGAGTTTAATGGTGACCTTGGACATGAGCTTGAATCTCATCTTGAAGACTGTTTCAAGGTCAACTTTTATTTTTGAAAACAGTTATCATCCTCTTTTACCGCCCTCACTTACTGGCGAGGAAGTATTGTAATCGCGCTAAATTTCCAAAAATGGCATATTATGTTTAAGTTTTATGACATTGTACATCATGAAAAACCATGTCACCCATCTCCGTCGGTCTGTCTGTCGGTCTGTCCATCAGTCTGTTTGTAGTCCTGTCGGTCTGTCTGCTAATCCTTGTCCCATCTATTACTTGTAAAGGACAGCTTTCAACAGGAGAAAGTAATTTTTTGTTTTAAAAAAATTGAGCAATCAAATGTTAAGAAGATCGTTAAACTCGGCTTTGATAGTGTTGTGTGGACAGTTTTAGATATTTTATGGATTTAGTGTCGAAGATTTCTGGGTTTTTAAGTTGGCATTTCAAGACATTAACTACGTAGTATTGAATTTTTGGCATATTAGAATCCAAACTTTCATGTGTGTGTAGCAATGAGGAAATCAATGTCATTTAAAAGGGCAAGGTATGTACTTTGAGATGGTATCTGTGGCTATTCGCCATGCTACATAACTTCAAATATAGGCTGTTTCTGCACCTTTAGGTCAGGATATCTCAAAAACTAAAACCAAAATTTCGACTTCGGATACAGAGCATCAGAAGCCTCCGGGAAAATATATGCTGGTCTCAATTATGATGGTCTGTGTTACTATTCTCCGTAATACTTCGACAGCCTTCGGCAAATGCATGATATTTCATTCATATAATTTTTGTTAGGTACGGACGCCAGCAGAACGAACATCCCCATTCTCTCCAATCCAGAACAGCTTCGAACCTCCCTTGAAGCTACCTCACATGCCCAGGTTATCCTTCCCAGAAACTCTCCTTCCGAGACAAGAATGCCAATCGCCGATCCCTAGGCGGAAACAAGCCAGACCTAGACGTAGGTCGGGCGAACTGTGCGGAGCCCAAGACCTCACCACAAGTGTGGTGAAGCCCGAATCCCCCAGCGAAGAAACTGCCGAGAACCTGTGCATTAAAAAGAACGGGAAAGAAGAGAAACGGGAGATCAAAGAGGAGGAGAAATGCCGGACACCGGAGCCCAGCGCTGGAAGCCCAGAAATGGACCTGAGTATGCAGAGCGGCAAGGAGTTCCGGACATCGCCTGTCAACATGCACCCCTCTATGAATATGAAGCAGGAGATGGAGAGTCATTCACCTTTGCACTTCCCACCAATGCCGTCGGTATCGGCTCTCACAATGACACCTCCTCATAGCAAATGTGAGTAACTATTTCCAATGAGTTAATTATGTTTTAGAAGGCTAGTACATTCGTGGAGAAAATATTCGAGGAAAAACATCAAGGACCACCTTGATAAAGTCAGCTTAACGGAACCCCGCATATACTCGTAAAGGAAAATGTGCAAGGATTCAGACTGAAGATATCACACTGCGGTGCAATTTTGAAAAATTTAGATTTTGGGATAATTATTGATGGGTACAATTTGGCTGAAGTATTTTCAAAATTGTGGTATCTCCGGTTATACAGGAATTTCATACTTGCTCATTTTACGTAGAATACCTTGAATAAAATTATGTTTTTGGATTGTGCGCGAGACGCTAAACACGTCTCGTATATGCCTTACCTCAAGTTTAGTAAGAAAATCATTACAGTATGGCAAGGTCACAATTACAGGAAAAATTCATCATTCATCGGCCTACATTTTGATACATCCGCGTCCAGACGGTCTGTGCCAACCAGTGCACTCAAATTCGCTCAGCTACGCGCTGCCGCAATACATCCGCTTATCTCTGGCTAGCTGTTCCATTCGGCTCCCATCGCAATTAACATATCATAACATCCAGTCTGACCAAAACCAAGCCTATCTGTAGTAGCATAATTTTTACATTTTAGAAACCGGTTTTTCTAATCTATAGTTCATTGATGAAAAGCCCAGTACACAAACTCATTGAAAAAAACAGCTACAAAGGCCTCGGACCGTCCGATGTATACCAAATGCATAAAAAGTAGCCAATTAAAGACCTACCGCGTTTTCAGAACTCAGCCAATAGACCAAGAAATATGGAAAAAGGGGAAATCCATGAATTTTGGCCAAAGTAACTTTTTTGGTGGAATCCTTGGATTATTACTTCCTAATGATAATTTTAATTTGCTGCCAGTCCGACTTCCAGTGACTTGGTCCTATAGGGTGACTATGTATAAATGAATCGCTGCGGCCAGTAAACGTTTTGTTTTCTATAAAGCTGGAAACACACTTGTTCCGGGATATTTTTCTAGAGCAGCACCTTTTAGATGCATCTTGACCGCAGCACCCCCTTCCAGAATTGTAGTAGTTATGAGCTGGACGATCAGCAACAGACAAAAGCTAAAGTCTGACAGATTTTTGTTTAATTTCAGAATTTATAATGTACTGAATTTTAAAACTTTGAAGCTTTACAAAATATTCAAGAAGAGGAGAAGCGAAGCTCATCTGTTCGGCTCCTTTACACGTAATCAAGTGACGACCCCTCGTACTGGAGCGACACATGCAGATGACAAGTGTCGCCACGGTTCACTTTCCATCTCTTCTCCTAAGTAGGCATATTAAAAAGTCCGTAGTTTGGTGAAATCTTCCTTATATGAAAAACAGATACGTATATATCCGTTGATAAAATAATTGATGATGTTATGCGGATATAAACGCTCTAGACTTTCGGATACATCCAGTCAGCATTACTGAATCTAATATCATAAGCAATAACAGCTCATCAATGCTGAATATGAAAAATGCGAGGAAAGTGTTCTTCCATATCAATTCATAGTTTCTTTTACAGGATACTGAATTATTGATCTGTCCTTAGGTATCGAGCCATCAATAATTAATTGCTCCCTTTCAAAGACAATTATGTAAATAGTGCATACGAGTATACTGCGCAGAATAAATATATCATAAAGACTCAATTTAAGGAGATTAGTAAGTAGAAATGACAGTCGTTAGCAAAGAACTTAAACCGTATAGGTCCTGCCATTAATATCTAGTCTATTTAGAGAGTAAACATTTTTCCATATGAACAGACAGGGTGAGATGATTTTTTTTTGTTATTCTGTCGTTTTTTGCAACGATAGCTACATAAATCGATTATGGGATATGCGTTGCTATTAGTCCGGGTTTAAAAAATTGACGACTTTGCCCATTTAGTACTAATTTTATATAGTGAATGTTGTGCTCAAAGGAAAGCTCATAAATGAAAAAAGAGCAAGTCATCAATCATTCGGGCAGCCCTCGGCTGAACAGCAGCGAGCATGGATAATGTAGTTGAGGCGGCAGCATCCGAAATATGTGATCAGTACTCACGCATAGGTCTTGTCTGGGTCTTGTACAGAGTGAGGGAGTCATGTGGAGAAAAGTACTTCTTAGCCCTAAGCAAATAGCCTAGCTTTTAAGAAACAGCTTCTGCTATTGACGAGACGTGTTCGTGCCAGATCAAGCCTCAGTGATCTGGACTCTTTCCAGCCGAAGTGAACGGCGCTTTGGTAGATATCGGATATCCATCGAAACCGCTAGGGCGCTTCTTATTAGTCAAGATACATTACGGTGTTGCGTCCCCAACGAGTGATAACTTCCAGGCCTCTCGTCACAGAAGTCACTGCCAATCTTCTTTCCTCCAGCTCACCGGCAGAGATCGGCTATTGTCACTCTGAATTCCTGGATGTACAGGGCTGTCATCAGCATAGCTGTGGATCGGATTAATTGTACAGAAAAGGAGGTCATTGATATGTAAGAGGAACAACGTCGGAGCCTAGACCAATCTCTGGGGAACACCCGCGTTGACTTTGAGTGATAAAGATGCGAACCCATCAAGTAAGACCGATATCTTGCGGCCAGAGAGGAAGTCGGTCATCCATCTCCAAAGGTTCTGTGGGTGGACGTAGGATGGAAGTTCGCATAAGAGGGCAGCATGCCACAGCTGATCGAACTCTTTCGTGATATCAAGAGCAACGACATGAGCCTGACCATAAGACTGGATGAGTTTACTCCACAGTTGCGTGACGTAAGCTAAGAGGTTCCCTGTGGATCGCTGTGGCCGGACACCGTACTGCCTGTTCCTAATCAAGCCCTGACGTTCGAGATACTCCAGCAGCTTCAAATATATGCACGTCTCCATCACCTCACTTATAACAAAAAGCAGAGCTTTGGGCCTGTAGTTCTAAGAGTCGGTCTTACGAGTAGATGCAAGAGACGCGAAAGAACTAGAGGAGGCTCCGGGTCAGAAGCGTTGTTGATATCGAGCGACAGGAGCAGTCGTTTACGGCCTTATGCCTGAAGGTTTAAATCGGTAGCACTCGGGCGTCCATGGTGGAGTTGGCAGCACTGCCGCCTTAGCTCTTGAGTCGGTTAAAGTCGTTCCATCCTGGCAGGTAAACAGTGGACGACTACTCCTTGAGAAGTTCTTTCAATCTTTGAAAAAAACATTTATTATATATTTTTCGCTAAACATAAAGTACGAGTACCAGTTATGAGGGTGTTTAGCTAATTCAGAAAACAATTTTATCTACACGTGGATGTAACACAGACATACAGTACGGTTTGCAGGACAAGTGCGACGTCATTAATACAATGAGCGTAGCCTTCTAATTTTCCATATCTACTTCGTTGTGGTGTATATTAAATATGTCACATTTTTATTCAGTTTTCGGTCTGGACTCACCATTAGGGCTGTTCCCTCCGGGACTGGAGAACTGCAGGAATCCTTTGTGTTGATATGCCCGATCCCAGGACGACTCCAGATTCGCAGATGTTCGTTAAAAAGAAAAGTAAGTAATTATTTTCCCATCAATATCCTTCTAATTATTCATAAACGTTGAAAGTGTCTACCGAAAAGAAGTTGGTCAGTTTATTAAGTAGGACTTTACATCCTTGGAATGTTTGTGTGTGGAATAAGTTTCAAGGCATCGTAATGAATATATTTGTGTGAAGTGTGAGTGACACCCACCGTATTGTCCTGATTTTCACCAGGAACATTAATACAAATGACTGACCATACGAAACATCAAAAATATTAAAAAGTCTCATTAATTGGAAGATGTTCCGTTTCATTTTTGAATTATCTGACTCGAGAGCTGATAAACCGATGGTTTCTGTCGGCTCATCATTTTATTAGTTTCATTTTTATAAAGGAAAACAATTGTACATATATTTAAAAAGTTTTCACTATCTTACTACCGGAATTTTAAAGAGTCTATCGCATCATCGATTACACTAAAACATGGTATATGTCTAGTGTATTCTTGCACGAAAAAAAAATATTACTCCTGAAAAGCGTAAGTTACCTCACATTGATGTTGTCCGTAATACACTGCGGAATGCAGTTACAATGTTCTTACTTGGAGATTTATGGTCTTCTCATGGTCATTTTTGGAGTAAAAATAAACTTTATAATAACGAAAAGTGAAATTATGGTCGAAACAGCCAAAGTCTCAGATATACAAACATAGTTTGACTTGTGGTGACGTAATGCTCCAGAAGACCCTGAATAGCATCTTCCATTTTATTATTTATAGTTATATACACATCCTTGAGGGATGTCATATTTACTTTACTGTATTTATTTTATTTTTATCCAAAGATTTTTTTCTGTAAAATGTTCAGTAGAGATAATAAAGTCTATCGTGTCTCATTATTTACACTGAAACATGGTATCTGTCTGTACAATATTTTTGCACGAAATATATATTACTCCTGACATAGCGTAAGGTGTGTTATTTAATGTAAAGAATATTATGTAATGATGTTGCTCTTAATATAGTAATGTAGTTTTGACAGTACGGAAGAAAAAGGGTGTAACAGGTTTTTATTTGAAATTTGAGATGGAGTAGCTCCGTTGGAAAACATTTCTAAACTTTTAGTTCATTTGCTAACAGCCTGTTTTTAAAGATTTTATTTATTAAAGATCGATATCCATTTCGCAGATTTGCTTTGAAGTTTCTTGTAAATGTTTTTTATCACCTTTTGATTGCATTTCAGTGGGCAGACCTAAGGGACAGCACTCAGCTCCCAGGGGCGGGCCACCCCGATCGTGGACCAACGCCGAGCTAACCGAAGCACTGCAGCACGTATGGAACAAGAAGATGACTACCAGTCAAGCGTCCAGGATATTCGGCATTCCCTACAATTCGTTGCTGATGTATGTTCGGGGCAAATACGGCAAAAGCTTGAAGTTGGAACAGCTGCGAAAGACTGTATCGGTACCAATGCGCCCACTATGGATATCATGAATATGTCCGGAGCCAATCCCGGCAGTCTGGGCAATAACAACAATAACTCGTGCAAGGGAGATAGAGAGGAACAGATACAGCCTAACACCAGGTAAGACATGTCCCTTGCATAATTATATTGTGTTTCTATTCTAGAGATATCGATCAACCCTTCCTTGTAGGCATCTGTATAAGTAATATGTTTATACTAGTATATACAGGGTGTCTGCGAAAGGTTGGAAAATCTCGAAACTGGAGATACCACAGACCAAGATATGTGAATTGACCTAAATATATCTCAGTCCAAAAGTTGACAGTTTGCGAGATAGTTACAATTTTATTTTTTATTTTTCCTTATTGCTTGAGGAGTATTTCAGGTTTTGGCATAGAACTCGGTGTAGGGAGGTTTTCTAATATGAGAAACAAGAATCCATTATTTTTTATGGGCAAACTTCTAGAGGCCACCACTTACAGCACCCTTTCGGTAAATAACTTATCAAAACTTTTTTGTGCTACCCTGTATACAGCAACTGGCCAAAAAATCTTATTTTCTCGTATTTCCACCACAAAAGAAAGTTTACTTGTTAGAAGTGTCTAAAGTTAACAGTTTTCGAGATATTTGTTTTTAAAGGTTATAATGCATTATTTGTACCATTATGATAACACACCTTTATAACATAATAATCAAGTTGCTTTGCAAAATATCTGAGCAGCGTTGCTACGGTTTTTAACAATAACAAATGAGGTTGGCAACAAAACTAATAAACGAAAATCATAACTACAAAAATTGCTTAAAATGAGCACCACAACGCCTAACACACTCTCGAGCTCGACGAACAACTAATCCTTGCTGCACTCTCCAAAGCATTTGGAGGTTATTTTTCATTTCTTGGCTATGGTGGAAAATTTTTGTCGAAGATCATCTACAGTTTCCACTTTCCACCCTGTATAGAGTATATACTTTAACGTGTCACACATATCACTGCTCTTACATTTCAGTTCAAGTCAAATGATCGATAACGATAGAACATACTGCGTATATGCGATCCTATAAACCAAAGAACTTAAAAACAGCGACCCCCAAATCAGTTTTATACAGAATTGCATGCTCTACCATTTGCCTCTAAGCTATTTGAATGATAATTTTGACTCGTAACATCCAATAGAAAAATTTGCGCTCCAAGGAACAATGGAGACTTATGATATATTAATTGAAATAAAGCATCATTTTGAGCAGACCAGGATGTGCTTAAATGGTACAGATCAATACTATTACCTTCTTTTTTAAGTATTGCGCGTTAAATTGTTTTGTATAGAAAGCCTTTTTGCTCATAGAAGGAATTTTTAGAAGAATCCCTGACTTTGTTTTGATACATCTGTATAAGTGGTATGTATTTTAGTGAAAGTCGCATACATCAATGCTTCCACATAATTAATATTATCGGCTCATAAGAGCAGAGGAGAATCTGAGAGTCCACAGATCACTAAATCTCGTAAACGGTGACTCGAGGAATAAAAGAACTTGAACTTTTCAAGTTTACAGTTTTTGTATGAGGTTCTTTTGTACTCTTTTGTTTTAGAGAAATCTGACAAAACGTGATATTTTTGGCATTTCAACCCAAATAAAACAAGGTTCCACTCTAAGGATATATAGGAAGTTTTAATATATTATTTATAACGGCGTATTTAAGGTATGTACTCGTAGTAGTTTTCAGCTTTGTGGGAATTTTTGCAACTTGCAAGATTTTTTGCTGTATTTATTCTGGGCTATATAGCCCGTTGGTATCCATCAGGGCATGGTAGAGAAAATAAATGAAATGATGTTCACATGCCGTGACATGCCGTTTGCTAGAATCATGTGACAGTTAATTTTGAATCCAAAAATCATTAGATATTGAATAACAGGAGCGGATCCCGGAAGGTGGCGACACAGAAGCAAAATCGTGCATTCACGGATAATGGATGTCCTTTATTGAAAATTATGATTGAAAAGATAATTTGTGAGTAAAAAATTGCATTCATTTGGATTATGCATACTCTTTTCGAGATGTCTTAATTCATTTTATCGTACATTCACAGGTGGACCATAACGGTGTTCCACCTACAAATTTCATTGCATTGCATGTGCTTTTTGCAGATGATGCGACAGCCCTAATATCGAACAGAGATAAAGAAAATATAAGTGTATGGCTGAGGAATGGTTCCCTATCTATTATAAGTTCATTTAGCTTTAGAAAAATGAGTCTAATCGATAATACTGATATAAATGTAAAATTTCTGGGGGTTGTATAGGAACCTTCAACTATTTGGTCAATCAAATAACTAAAAACACTTTTCCCACTATTATTAGACAGTTTTTACTGATCTTGTCTTTCTGCTTTGTTATGATCTTCCCTATTTCGATTTTACGGAGCAGCGAGACAATACTTCGTTCTCCGTTATCGAAATGATGTTTCGTAAGGTTTTTTTCTTAATATAGCTTAATTAATATAATTTCAACTTACGAGTATACAAACATATTAGTTAAAATATATTATAAATATCAGTTTTAGATCACAGATGAAAATAAATCAAGAAATAGGCAGTCTAAATAAATTGATTTGTCCTAATTTTTGTTAAATATGCAATATGGCAAGGTAGCGTTTTATCCTAGTTTGGCTGGTTTTGTGTTCACTTATCGTTCTTTGGTTCTATGATTTCAAACCTATTCGATTCTTGTTCAGCTTAGACACAAGTATCACCAAATTCTTGAAATGAAAAAAGGTTTTGGAGTTTGAGGCTAGCTTCACGTCAAAATCGAAAAATAAGCATACTGTCATGACTGTCAATACTCAGTACTGTCAAATTTTCCTCGGTACCCACCTTAGTGGTCGTAAAAGTTCTTATTTTTCAACCATCCTTATTAATTTGTCATCGCTGTTAAAAGTAACGCAACGAAGGGCTTAACAATTCGTTATTTTTAGAGTATTAAAAATTCTCTATTGTAATTCAAGCATATCATTTATTAATTCAATTTAATTTCACACATGACCTACACTATCACGTGTTGGGTGCATTCGCCACATACTATAAGAATATTTCAAGTATAAGAGAAAATAGTCCGTATTACTTTCAAAAGTGTTACCGAGACACTTTTAAATTCAAAAAATACGTACATTTCCCAATCTTACACACATCAGTACTTGCTTTTAAGAACCTAAGTCATCACAACCAACAGAACCATTTCTATGAATATAATACTGGAGAACCACAAAACTTAATAATAGATCTGTTGAGACTCAACGTCAGTCGCACATCAAAAACTATGGTCCAAAATATTGAAACAAATTAAATTTGGATTACAAGGATGTAAACCTATGTTCAAAAGGAAGGTTGTCGGACTACTTCTAAATAAAGCATATTATTTTATCGTTTGATTCCTTGTTGATACCCCATAAAGCCTCCGTAGTTCTTGAAGATATATTTTGATGTTTTAAATATGTTTTCACATTGTATTGTGTTTGTACTGGCTGATATTTTTTGAAATGTATCAGATGTCAGTTGTAAATACAATTTTGTGTACTAACATGGAACTTAAATTTGAAAATTATAATTTGATTAAAAATTTTCGAATGTTCATGCTTAAACCACGAAATCAAAATAAACTATACAGAAATAAGGATTTCGTTATTTAAACTTCATTCACGAATGACATTTCACTAAGACATGTTTAGCTCACTAAAAATATTTTCACGAGTTTAATTTAGGATTGCCTTTTGGTGTATTTATCAGAAACTGTTCTGTATGGTCAAGAGCAGTAGCTTCCAATTCAGCACAAGAAGCTATTTCATATGCCTTGTTTTCAAAGAGGAACAGTGGCTCCACCAGAGCACAGAACGTTATTTGTGGATCTTGTGAGTACAAAAAGCAGGTGGTAGACGGTTTCAGACTGTCAAAGCGACGAATCTCTTAGCCGGGGCTACAGTGTGTGCATGTCCTCCCCTTTCTTCGTTTCCCTCTTCAGCATCACGGTGTTCACCGGGCGTTTAGGCCTTCGTGGTGATTCAGTTATAAAAAAAGTTTTGCTTGTTGGCGTAAATTATTTTGTCCGCAAAATCGGCATTACCGAGATTTCCAATTTATGAACTGTTTCACTATTTACTGCTACCACTACATTTACTAACTCTCATGTGTTTCATATACATAGGCAACTGGTACACAATGTAGGTTTGTGATGTGTAGTCGGAGTGAGGGTGAGGCCAGCCTGGCAACTATGCCACCTTTTTTACCCTTTTTACCGACCCCGAAGTACCACTGATTGCCAAATTAGCATCTTATCGACACATCCTTCATTAAAAATAATCGTTTTCATTTCCAGGCCGTCAAGCACCGGCGAGGACCCCACAACAACGACGTCACTGCCGGTCCCAACCTCAACGCCTGGCAGTGGCGGAGGCGGCGGAAGTATGACAGGCAGTGGTGGAGGAGGCCATCCGCCACCCCACTCGCTTTTCAACCCCTTCCCGGTCGTTTACCCTGATTTGCCGGGCAGTGGCGGCGGAGCTCCAGGAGCGGCAGGGTTCCCTATCCCTGTCAGTATGATCCACCTGTTGCCCCAAAGCGAGAAGAGTCACTTTTCCCTCACCAACGCTGATGTAAGTAAAATTTATTTATTGTTTTTAGAGTGGCTTTGATGGCCGAATATCAAGATTGATTTGATCAACCATTAATTTTCTTTTGTCCTCTTACAACTAATACCTATCACTAGGGGAAATTCATTGATGTCCTTTAAATAATCTTAACCTATAATTGCACAGGCCAAAAAAACTTTTTTTTTAAAACTTTTTTTACTTTGACGGCTGATTTTTATAATAATAATAATAATAATAAATGTATTTATCAGCAACACAACCATAGGGCGAAGTTTAGCCAGTTGACTACTGTTACACCCAACCCTATTGTGTGCTTAAATATGTATACTAAGTGACATATAAATCCGAACACCCAGTTTAAATGGTTTTATTTTAATAAAAGTTGGTGAATGTATTTATCTTACTGTAGATAACAAGTGAAAAAATTTTCAGCCTTATCAGTTGGACATTCCGGTTTTTATACTGCATTTTTTTAATTCACTAACGCTCTAAAAATGAATATTTCAGCCGCAGTAAAGACTCAACGTTGGCGGATTTTGGTTCTTCACATCCTTTACGATCGGTTACGATGCCTAGAGTACGGAGACCTGTACGATTTCGTCAACTTAGTGAGTTTGATAGGGGCCGTATAGTGGGACTTCGGGAAGCTGGACTTTCTTTTCGGGCAATTGCAGTTAGAGTGCAAAGAAGTGTAGACACTGTGGTTAGGTGTTGTCGGGCATGGCTTCGAGAAGGCCGTACGCAAAGAGCAAGGGGCACTGGACGCCGCCGTAGAACAACAGACCGTGAAGATCGCCGCCTAAGATTATTGGCCTTAAGGGACCGTTTCTCCACTACCAGGTCCATTGCAAATGAATGGTTTGCAGAACACGGAAGACCTATTGGCATGCGAAGTGTTTACCGACGAATGAGAAGCTTTGGCTTGTTTTCATACCGGCCACACTGGGTCCTCCCTTTAACTCGAGAACACCGACGTAATCGCCTTGAGTGGTGCAGACAACGGTCACTCTGGGATCAGGAATGGAACAGTATTGTCTTTAGTGACGAGTCTCGATTTTGTTTAGGCATGTACGATGGTCGTGACAGGGTTAGAAGGCGACGTGGTGAATGGAGGAATCCACAGTTTTTGTTGAAAGACATGTTCATCACACTGTTGGAGTTATGGTTTGGGGTGCTATAGCTTATGGTTCCAGGTCACCTTTAATCTTCATCAGAGGTAACATGAACGCGCAGCGTTATATCCACGAAGTTCTAGAACCCCATCTTTTACCCTATCTTGACACCCTGGCAGATCCAACTTTCCAACAAGATAAGGCCCGACCACATGTTGCAAGAGTCACAATAGACTTCTTTCAACATAATGATGTCACATTGTTACCATGACCACCAAGATCTCCCGACTTATCCCCAATTGAGCACGTGTGGGATATGATGGGTAGGAGATTGCTCAATTTGCAACGTCCTCCTCAGACTCTAGAAGCACTACGAGAGACGCTGGTGGTTGCCTGGAATGAGATACCACTGGAGGACATTGACCACCTGATCAGAAGCATACCTAGGCGCGTTGGAGAATGCGTAGCACAGCAGGGTGCATCCACACATTATTAAAGGTCAAAGGGCTTTAAAGCAGTGCAATCATTTTGAAATTTTCATCATTTACTTATTATGCTTCATTAAGTACTTATACAAAATTTTATTAAAATAAAACCATTTAAACTGGGTGTTCGGATTTATATGTCACTTAGTATAAGTACTGTGTAGTTCAGCAGTTGCAGAGATGGTCAGAGAGTTAGTTTTTTTCTTCACAAGAATGAAATTATATGATTTATATTATTAAATTTATATGATTTCTATTATATTTCTAACATTTTTGGTTGTATCTTTGTGAGGTTGTGTGGAAGAGCACGCAATGTGAACTCCACATTTTGGTTAACCCAATAAAGTCATTTGTTATTATTATTGTTGGTTCATCTCAGGTCTCTTCCTGGTATATAGCAAGGTACGGGTTTTGACCAAGCATCTTCGTCTAATCTTGTTATAAGATCCGTCGAACTATTCTTGTGGTGTTCAATATATGTAACTGCTTTTTATAGTAGCTTGAAGACGTTTTGTTTGAATCTCAAAATGTGGATGTTGCTGTGAAGATCTTTTGATAATACGCCTGTCGAAGATGATTTCGTCTGCTAGTTCAGCGTATTTACGTTTCTTATCCGCTATTTTCCTTAGTAAGTTATATGTGTTGGGTACAGCTATTTCAGCTAAAAAATGCTTCTTTTGCTTGCTTATCTCTTAACACGATATATGGTTTGTTGTAGGCGATGGTTCTGAAAGTTATAATAGATTTATTATAGTATACTGTGTAATGGTTGGTTTGTAAAGGGTTGTCCAATAGGGACGCAGGAAAGTAAACGTCAATTGACATAGACGCCATCTTTGTTTTCTGTCACCGACATGTCATTTTGTTAGTTGAATGTTTACCATTGATCGCTATGGAGCCGTATTCGATTGAAGACCGCATTAAAGTTATTCAAGAGCACTACAAAAATGGTGCAAAAATAAAAAAACACGTTTCGCGCGCTTCGTGAACATTTCGGTCGCAACAACCGCCCAAACGAAACAACCATCGGTCGTCTGGTGCGTAAATTCGAGGTTCTGTGGCAAATCTGCCAGGCTCCGGCCGGCCAAAGAGCGTTCGCACACCGGAAAATATTGCTGTTGTGAAGGAGAGTGTGAGAGACGATCCGAAACAATCAACAACGCGTCGATCCCAAGAATTGGGCATTTCGAGAACCAGTTTGCTCCGCATTCTCCACAAGGATTTGAATGTACACGCCTACAAGATCCAATTGACGCAAGAGCTGCGTCGGGCCGACCATTTTTCGCGCCGAACGTTCTCAGATTGTCTCCTTGAACACCGCCAAATTGATGCCAATTTTTCATCAAAAATCATGTTCAGCGACGAAGCGCATTTCACTTTGAATGGGACGGTAAACAAGCAAAACTGCCGCATCTGGGCGAACGAAAATCCCCGTGAGTATCAAGAGCAGCCAGTGCTTCCTCAAAAAGTGACTGTGTGGTGTGCATTGTGGTCAAAAGGCATCATCGGACCTTACTTTTTCGAAAATGCGGCCGGGGATGCCGTTACCGTCAATTCTGAGCGATATCACGTGATGATAGAGGACTATTTTTTGCCGCAACTTGAAGGAATGGATATGGACGATGTTTATTTCCAACAAGACGGTGCAACATGCCACACAACCAACGTCAATATCCATCGATTGCAGTCCTTCTTCGGTGATCGCGTGATTTCGCACAGAGGAAATGTGCCATGGCCACCAAGATCGTGCGATTTGACTCCCTTGGACTTCTTTTTATGGGGAAATTTGAAAAGCAAAGTCTACGTCAACAAACCAGCCACCCTCCAAGAACTCAAAAACAACATCATTGCCGAGATAAATGCCATAGAACCGACCATGTTGCAAAATGTCATTGAAAATTTCGACCATCGCGTGGACGTCTGTAAATCCACTCGTGGTGAACATTTGAGCGATATTATTTTTCATACATAAATGGTATAAATGAACCTTCAAAATAAAGTACCCAACTTGATTTGAACATCAATCTTTCTTGTTTTAATATGCGTTTACTTTCCTGCGTCCGTTTTGGACAACCCCATATAACGATGGGTGGTTGATACTTATAATATGGAGCTTTGGGAATCCCTTTTACTAGACTGGCTTGTTGCATATGCCCTGATGTATGATAGCAGTAACCTGGTTGTGGTATTATAAACAATCGCTCCGAGATGCTGCATGCTGTTATATGCTGTATTGTCTCGAGCTTTTCTCTGCTCTTCCTACATCTGATTCTGGTGTTTATCACTTGATTTTGCATTGCTATAGCAAAGCTCTCCCTCTCTGATAGCAATTCTCCACACTTAAACCATGCGTTCCACGTTTGTTTGTCGACATGTATCTGGTCTAAGTCGTCATTCTTGATTTTTCACCTCTCTGCTATAGATTGTCTCATCAGCAGGATGAAGGACCTTATTTCGTGGAAATAATACCTCATCAGTTTAATCTGCCTGTTATGGAATTTTTTGTATCATTGAGACCTCTGCCCCCGTCCTCCCGCGGTAGTATCATTTTTAGGGTAGTACTTAGGTACCACTTAGTTTATTATTATTATTATGTCTGTTTTATTTTCCCCTTATTGTAGGATATTTCGCCCACAATGGTGGCCTTTTTCAAGTTAAAAAAAAATGTTCCGCAGTGGCCTTTTTCAGTACAATATTTTTTTAGTACTTGAAAAAGGCCACCGTCGTTACCGCAACGTACAACAAAGAAAATGGAGTCCTATGGACATGATCATTTTCAGGAGTTACAGTAATACCAACTTTTTTTCGAAATACAGTCCATAATGTTTGCAGATTGGCCAAAACAGAATATCGACGCCACTGTTTGTGACCGTACTCTGTCACCGATCCAAGATTGACACATTACCATCAGCTTCCGAGAAGTTTGGTAAACAACTTTATTTGTCCAAAAGGCAAACGGTTGACAGGCAAAAAATGTGCTTTAGAATATAGATACAGGGCATTTCGTCTTCGGCAACGACCTTCTTTTGTTCAATTTGAGGAAAACAGGTAGTCGTGACCTAAAATGCTTTGAAGTGTCATAAATCAAGTTGGCTATGTGCTCGGACCTTTTCTGGGGTGTTACAGATGACTGTCGAAGAATGCAAGAAATTTTACTTAGAGACGCCTATAAAATTTATGAATGAATTTAGTGTATATAGATCAAATAGACAAGGCTTTGATTTGGACACGAGTGACTAAATTAGTATTAATTTACGCAACATTTGAAATGAATCATGAAGGCAGCTTTATTTACATCGGCTTTGCTGGTAAATACGCACTTTTTTCTTGTAAGTTTCCGTGACCATTTTGCATACATTTTCGTTGATATAGCCTTGGATTTTCTCCTTTAATATACTGTCTATGGGCTTCCTTC